TTTCCTTAATTTCAATTGAATAGAAAAAGGTTTTTAAAAAGTCAAAAAAAAATATTGCGATAAAAGGGATTTTTTTTATTGTTGTTATAATCTTGCAATTTTATTCTAGCTTTTATTATAGTATTGCAGTGCAAGTGAAAAAGTCATCCATTAAAACCGCTGTGAAAGTCCCTAATAATTAGGGACTATAATTATTATAGTATTGCAGTGCAAGTGTTTTTTTGCCGTAAATTAGTTATAAGCAATTTATTGAAATATTTTTATTGGTTGTATTCAAGTAAACCAAAGAAATAAAAAAAATTTCCATTATTTGGAAATATTAAAAAAAGAAAATTATTGTAAAACAGACAAAGTTATAATTTTCTGTTTTTCATTGCATGTATATTTTTATGAATACGTAATTTATGCATACATATTCTTCATGCATCATTGCATCTTCTACATAATAACGCGGCGTGTGCGGCACTTTAGAAGTTTATAAACTTTTTTAACAAACTGATATGACCATTTGAATAATATTTTATTTATATTTTCATTTTTCATAAACAATCACCAAAAGCGTAACAAATATTTCCAAGATGTTTTACTTGTTAAACTTTTGTTGTCATCAAAAATTCTTTTTCATATCTCTAAACAATCAAGATTAAGTTTTCAGTCAACCTGAATTCCAAAAATACTTTTGTTGTCATCAAAAATTCTTTTTCATATCTCTAAACAATCAAGATTAAGTTTTCAGTCAACCTGAATTCCAAAAATACAGGTTCTCTCCCTTCATTTTTTATCTTAAATATTTAAATAATTTAACTTTTTTATTTTAATTTTTAACTTTTTAATTTTATTGCGTAAGCTTCCGTATAAGGTAGAAAACACTAGAAAAAAAACAAAAACGGTGAGGCAGAAAACACTCGAAAAAATCTGTGAGCAGAAAAAGCAAAAAAGAAAACAAACCTCGAGACAGAAAACATTAGAAAAAAATGAATAAGTAAAAAACACTAGAAAAAAATGAATAGGCAGAAAACACTATTTTTTCATTATATATCTATAGTTGTTATTTTATTAATTGATACCACCACATTGCATCACCTAATACGTAACAAATACTAGAATTTTTATTTAGGACCATCCCATCTATTTTGAATGGTCTGCATGAAACGTGTTTTATTCTCCGTGTTTTATTCTCCTTTATATAGACTATTGTATTTTTAATATTCATAACTATAAAAGGGCGAGACAGGCGATACATAATACTTTTTATAAACATCAATAAAGTTGAATTACATTAAGGCCGTTTTTTACAAGACGAAATGTTTGCCCGAAGCGAATTTTTTCGTCGGTAAGCATGCGAAGATTTCTGGTTGATACCGCTGTAGCAAAAAAAAAAGTCGAATTCCTTTCGACTTTTTGCGAATCGCCATAAGCGAAAACCAATCAAGTTTTGAATATTATATCACGTGAGGTCAATTAAAAATTGAAAGCACTTTGATTTAAAAAAAATTTTAACCTTGCGTACTTATTGATTTTTTAAGAATTCACTCTGAATATTGGCAAGCATTAGTAAATTCATTAAATAAGGAGCAAGACTTAAATCGAGAATTTACAAATGTAAATTTCCACACTGTCAATTCCGAAAGTTACACTTCATAAGAAGGTTTATCTTCAAGTGACCACACGAAGATAAACCTTTTTTTGAAAAACCCTACAAAGAGTTAAACCTGCTGTTTGTTCTTGCAGTAACAGTTTTTTTAACAGAAATGTTTATCAAGGCCGACAACACCGGGGGTGCCACGGGGCCACACTTTTTTTCTAAAGGACTTTTTTTTTTTTTCTAGATAATAGTTCTAGATATAGAAGACTTTTTCTAAGAATTGACGATTGTGCCCCCCTCTCCCACTTCGAAACCCGTGTCGTCGGCCCAATTTATATCAGAGTTTTGCATTTATTTCTTATACTTTCTTATAAAAAAAATCTTTTATTAAATTATTATATTACAAAATGATATCACATCTTACATACAAAGACAGAAATGTTAAAATTAATGCATGGAAAGAAATTTTGACAATGCTTCAAGTAGAAAGTATGTTAAAAAAGTAATAATTGCTTTTAGTTAAACATATAGCGTAAACTTATTGCTGCCATTTTTTATTGCTGACAACAAAAAAAAAGTAGTGCAAAAGAAAGTAAGTGGAAACCAAAACGGCGTTTCGTCCGAGCGAAAAAATTCGCTTCACGCAAATTCTGTCAAGACATATGTATATATTATGCAAGATTTCTTAGAAAATTTTTTTTGAAAGGTTGTTACCTTGCAAAAGATATTTCCCTCTTCCCTCCCTAATTATTATCTTTTTTAAAGAAGAATCGTTATGTTTATTTGTTTGCTGACATTTTTTTATATTAAACTTTAAAATCCATAGATTAGGCTTTAAAATTAAGTATTATAGTTAAAAATTATGTTACTGCTTTTTTTAAAAGATTCAAGTAGTGGATTTCACTACATGCGCTA